AAAAAAAAAAAAAAAAAAAAGAAAAAAGACGAAGCAGAGTATCTATTGAACGTTGTTGATGTAATACTCAGCATTGGTACAAAGCAGAACGACGACTCATTGATTCGCCGAACGTTGTGTCCACGGTACACGCGATCAGAGAGGGGAAAGAATATTGTACAAAGCGAATAATTTAAACGTTAAGACATAATTTTATTCATGTTGAGCGAACGTGTCTTTGCGAAATTGTTTCGAAGAAAAACGAGTTAGTTGCTACCGATTCGCAAAACGATGCGCAATCCTCGTGTGTTGAGTCAAAACCGATGTATCTATGTAAATTATTAATTGTGACGATTAATCGTGCGATTCGTGTTTTATGTATAATCGAAAATTGTTTCTCCAAATGATAATTATGTATGTACGTTGAAAATATAATATATAATTTAATTCATCTGTTATAAGTTTATCAATTGACGTTTATGGAAAGCATTTTCTCCACTAATTTTAAGTTCAATCGGCGAAAAGCAACGATAAATCTTAATTTCAAGAAAACTTGAAGAAATCTTCGCAACTTTGATACTTTCATTTCATATCGAACTCGATATAAGAAGAACATGTGACGAGTACATATTATTGTTTAGAAAAGGAACAAATTTAGGAAGGTAGAAGAAAAATAATTCTGCATCGATTTCGTCGTTCTCCTTTCGTACTATTGACAATACTTTAATCGTATGGTATACATACACCTTCTATCTCAGGCTAAATGTAAAATGATATACATACATAGTATATAGGATTATATATATGATAAAAATTATAGAAGATTGTAATCTATGAGTGTATTGCCTCTCTGTTTCACGATGATTCGTGAATTTGTAACGATATTTAAAATGTGTTATACAAAATATAGTATTACTAATTATAATTTATATAATTCTTCTTGAAGGAATAATTAAAATTATTCAAAATTAATTTGCAAATAATTGACACGATTGACGAAATATTTACAAAATAATGTACGTTAATGTAATTTATTGAAAAACTTTGTTCGAGATTGATTCCACTGTTAAGAACTACAATTAATGATTTTTATAATCTATGCATTTTCTATTTTTTTTTTTTTTTTGTAAAAACTTATACAGCCTTTCAATGAGTTTCAGAGATCGACAAAATGGACGTCACACCCTTCTCGAGTATCACTCAAAAATAACACGTATCATTATAAAAATTACAATACCAATACGAAAAAAATTTTTAAAAAACTTTTTAAATTACAAAGCTGAGATAACAAACAAATTTAAAAAATAAATTAATAACGAACGAAAGATGGACGTATATAAAACATCATATTCATATCTCTTGCATAAAACTCTATCTCCGTTACTGAATATAAGTTGTTCGAATTGTTCGAGACGAAACTTTCACAAAGTTTTCAATGATATTTCAATCTCGAACAGGTATGAAACAAATTGCACACGTTGATAATTGCGTAAAAAAAAAGGAGAACAACGGAACCATGCATCAAAAGCTAAATCGCGCCAAAGAACCGTCGCTGGAAAATAATATTTTATCATCGTCGCGTTGTATAAGCGGTGCTCAGTTGCATAAGTGTCAAGAGTATATTTATGAATGTGGCGTAGCCCATTTAAATCTGTGTATCGTTGTCTGTCTGTGCGCATCGTTACTTCTGCTGTTTTGTACTTAAGGTGTGTGTACAAAAAAAAAAAAAAAGAAAAAAAAGATCAACAAAATGATATGTCTGTTGAACATGGCGTCAACCACTCGTTATGACGTTATCATCGATCCTATTTTTCGTGAAATTCGACCGATCGAATCGAAATTTATCGTCATTTATTTTATATTTTATATGGATCCGGATAAATTTTAATCAAGTCAATTTCTTTCGAAGAATTCCTCATTCCGAAGTAAATCCAATTCTTCCAGATTATAATATACATTTTGTAAATATTAAATATCGATTTTGTTCAAAAATGTGTAAAAGATCGAAAACATCGATTCGATCGAGAGTTTCACACACATACACACATTATGATCGGTGCAATTCTATCTAAAGTTCGATCTCTATCATGTTGTGATATTCTGTAGCCAAATGAGTTCAAAATAAAGGGAGAAGAGCGTGATGTCAAGAAGCCACGAACCGTGAAATCTATATATTATCCTTAAATATCCTTCGTTAAAGAATTTCTAAATACGTTAAATATTTATCGATTGTTCTTCTCAATTTCATAATGTTCATAAATTAAATTAGCCCCTTTCCTAATCCTTTAAGCATTTAAACCGATAATATTTACATTCTTCTATTCTCTCTAACAGAATTTCAACGGATAGATAGAAGGTGAAAGATCAAGCAGAAGCACCTTTCGACTCTAAAAACCACTTCCTCGAGAGATTATGCTCGAACAGGGTACGTTGTTAAAAGCAACATATGGCAAGCGGTACCGCGAGAATAATTATATTTTCGACGTATTGATGACCGTGTGTGACGCAACGATCGACGGGAATTTGAGCGATCTATCGTGTAATCCTTCATTGATTTCTCGATATCGACGTTAATGATCCATTTAAGGTATCTTTATCCTGTGATAATCGTCGTTCGAACGAATCCAGTTGTGGCCGATTAGAAGTAAATCTGCAACGGAATGAGCATGAGTAGGAAGGTAAGTGAAGCGGTAAAATATGTTATTATATCGTAAATATATATTTAGTTACTTTATGTTAAAAGTAGCTGTACTCGTTCGAAAGTCTTGACAGCAATTTTACACTCGAGTCGAATACGAGCAATTTTCTAGCCGGATTTATCGCGACAACCAGATTTATCGCAAATAGTTACAGTACTGTATAATTGAAGTGGGATAAATGTAAAATATTTTCCAGGTAATTGTAACTGTGCGTAATGACAGAGTTTCGAATAAATATGTAACTATGTTGTAAATATTAGAGGCACACATTCATGAACTGATAATACATATTCATGAACTGAACTCAAGAGGAAATGGGAATTGTTCGATTTTTTTTTCTTTTTTCAAGATTATGCAATGCAGAAATTCGAATGTAGATAAAGGTAATTATTATTCTTTCTATATATTTTCGTTTCTAATGTTATAGGCATTGTGCAATCTTAGAATAATATATCGGGTGTTCTAAGTCAGATGGAATATCTCGTTTAATTTTGAAATTGCATATTTTTGCAAGAGCACTGTTCGGATGGATGTGTTTAGGTGGCCATATTTATATTCTCAGTTCTCGATACGAAATATAAAAATTTTGAGTAGAAAGTTGTTGTGTCAACAAAATTTAGATTTTAATACAGTTATCTAGGATTCGAAATATTAGACAAAATATACAATACGAGTAAATTATAATTGCAATGATTCCAAAATGTAATTTTCACATACAAAAATTTAACTTGATTAAGCATTACCCGATAATCGTAGAAATAAGATGAGATAAGTATGTTTTATAGATAATTATCAAGTGGATTGTTATTCATAACATAGGAAGAATAACGAATCTCTTCCAAACATAAATCTCATATCGATATTAAACGATAATATAATGTCACTTTTATCTTGGGTAAACATATTAATGAAATTAAATATAATTAATCTTAGATAAATATACTAATTAATAAAAACAAATAAATACACGTTTCCTCTCGCGTATTTTATTTTATATCTTTAAATTCTTTTTATTATTATTATTATTATATTCCTTATTAAAAAAAAATTCCAAAATATTTTCAATTCCAGAATATTCATATCGGGTCAAAATTAATTAATCAGATTCGATTATATTAAACTTTACAAATGTAAACATTTATAAATTACCTCATCACAATCGGCACAATCGACAACAACGTTAATCTCTTCGATACCGAATTCAACAGAAATGTCACAAAATTTCCTTTGGAACGTATAACCTCAATCCTTCGAAATCCGACCGATATCGATCAAGCCTGCTCGTTACGCATCCAGAATCCATAGTAGACACGCCGATTATCTGAAAAAAACTCGTAAAACGGATTGAGTCGTCTGGAAACGATTATCGATCTTATCGATGAAACAGGCGTACGCGTATCCGAGGTGAAAAATATCCAAATGAGATACGCGAAAACCGTGGTTGCGA